AACAGCTAATACATACACACTAGCTATGTGCCATGCTATACTCGAAACACCTTAAATTTGTTAATTCATTTGCTCTTTGTACCAACACTAAAGGTAGGTACTACTATTACCCTCACTTTAGAGAAGACTTCCCAAACATCTCTGGAATACATCCCCTCCTGAATATGCCACAGCCCCTACTCTTTTTTCCAAGAGACTGTGCTAATAGTCCTAACGGGTAGCTGCCTCTGGGACCCCAGTCCTCAACTCTCAATCCAGCCTCCACACTGCCTTCAGGGTTATTTTTCTATAATGCTAAGCTAATCACATTAGTCTCTACTTAAAATCTTTAGTAGTTCCTGACTACCTATAGGATACATTTGAAATCCAAAACTCACACAAGATCTTTCACAACCATTCACAAGACCATTCATAACCAGGTGGCCACCACTGGCCTTTCAGCTCTTAACTCCTACCTCTTCCCTACCCTACCCTACCCCACTTTCTAGGCTCTAGTCTTAACAACCTCCTCACTCTCCCCTGACCACAGTAGACTAGAACACCTCCATTTCTGGCAAGTGCCATTTCCTCTGCTCAAAATGCTCATCTCCTCCTTGCTAGCCTGGCACAAACTCTTTTTCTTTCAAGACTCTGCTCAAGTGTCACCTTCCTTATGGAGCCTTTTCCAACCACTGGAGAGCCTCTCCTCTGGGTACCCACTGCATTCCCTCTAATAGCACTTATCACACAGTACTATAACTATTTCTCTAAGAGCACTACTTCCTCCCCAGAGCATGGGCTCCATAAGGGTAGAGTCCATTGTTAGTGCCTAATACACAGCCTCACCAATGGCAGACATTTAATGAACAGTGAATGAATAAAAGATAAACATTTGTTCACAACTGTCTGCATCCAAATGGTGCAATATATAAGTCTTGTCATTCCTTACTTTCCTACCCAATATCAGAACTCAATTTACATCTTTTCTTACAACCAAAGACAACTATCCCATCTTCATTCTAAATTAATTCATAAGATAATTATAAATTCCATAACTCCCTTATACATGAAGAATCCTAATTTACACACTAAAGCTTTTATAAATAAATTGTCTTCTTCAGTGAATAATACTAAATGAAAAAAAACTAATCCTAACTAAGGGAAGACCCCAGGTCCATTAGCTATTTCTGCCCGGAATTAGCCTTCACATACAATATGAGCGGAATTATGTAGTTTCTGAAGCTGTAACCTATTTGAGTTCTCCAGGCAGCCTGAAAAATCCCTGGTAGTTTTAGACAGATCTATAAGCCTTCAGAATGCTCCACCAAACACAGCTTTGAATTACTGTTTTTCATTACTGATGTGCTTTCTACTGGGCCCTGCTGTGAGATAAAATGGAATTATAGCAACATTACTAGCTATAGAATGATTGAGAGAGACACAGGGTTTTAATATACTTCTTGAACTTGCAGACAGTGAGACATCTTTGAATCTTAATGCAAGAGAAGGAAGAGTGAAAAAATAAGGTGCAGTTTATCTGCAGATCACATAGATGAAAAATACCTTGCCAATGTCTATGAGCAGCTAAATCCTACATTAAATACTCAAGCTTAGGGAGCTGCAACACAGGGATGATGGTGATAATGTCTGTAGTCAAACATTTCTTATATAATTGATCAGCAGTAAGGAAGGTGATTTCAGGAAACGTTATTCTAAAAGGTAAATTGACATTTCCTTGGAGCATCAAGGGTAAGGTCAATGACAAGCATGCTACCAAACAGAGAAAAGAGGCCAACTATTTTAAAGGAAGAAAAGAGAAATTCAAGGAAGAGTAAGGGAAGGACAGGATGAGACCTGAAAGTAGAAAACTTGTCTGTTACATTAAAAATGTGACTTCAGGGACCAGGAGAGTATTATGCTAAGCAAAAGAAGCCAGTCAGATTCCACATGATCTCACTTATATGTGGAATCTAATGAACAGAATGAACAAAATAGGTCCAGAGGCATGGAAGCCTGGCAAGGACTGACGGATCTCAGAGGGAAGGGGGGTGGGGAGGCAGGCAGAGATTAACCAAAGAATTTATATGCATATATGCATAGCCCATGGACACAGACAATAGTGTGGTGAAGGCCTGGGGGGGAGGGGCAGGAACCAGCGGAACGTTGAGACCATTCCTATCTTAGAGATGAAGAAATTCTATCAGAAATGTCAAAAGAGTTTCCAAAGAGCCAAAACAAAAGTGAATGCCAGAAAGAATATATATACCCCGATGTTCATAGCAGCACAGTTTACAATAGCCAAGATCTGGAAACAGCCCAAGTGCCCATCAGTAGACGAGTGGATAAAAAAGCTGTGGGACATTTATACCATGGAATACAATGCAGCTGTAAAGAAGAAGAATCTCGTACCCTTTGGGACGGTATGGATGGACCTGGAGAATATTATGCTAAGTGAAATAAGCCAGGCAGCGAAAGACAAACATCACATGATCTCGCTTATGGAATCTAAAGAACTTAATAAACTGATGAAAAGAATAGATTCAATGACATGGAAGCATAGATGAGACTGACGAATGTCAGAGGGATGGAGGGGGGGGTAGAGGGGGAGAGAGTAACCAAAGAATTTATATGCATATATGCACAACCCAAGGACACGGACAATGGTGGGGAGAGAGATTGGGGAGAGGGAAGGGACGGGGTGGAACGGGTCATTGGGGAGAAAAAGGGACATATGTAGTATTTTAAACAAAAATAAAATTAAAAAAAAAAAAAGTGAATGACAGTCTTTCAGGAAATAACTGCTATCTCTATGAGCAAGGTGTATGTTTTTCAAAGCTACTAGAACTGGAACTTGCATAAGTTGGGATAATGAAAGCAGAGTAGGCCTGGAAAATGCCTACAGGCTTTTACAGCCACCTGCCTGTCTTTCTTACATCTTAATGAAATTCGCTAAAATTTTCCTCCAGCCCAGCCCGTGTGGCTCAGTGGCTGAGCATCGACCTATGATCCAGGAGATCGCAGGGCACATGCCCCGGTTGAGGGCTCAATCCCCAGTAGGGGGCGTGCAGGAGGCAGCCAATTGATGAACCTCTCAACACTGATGTTTCTGTATTTATCTCTCCCTCTCCCCCCTTCCTCTCTGAAATCAATAAAGACATATTTAAAAAACTAAATTCCTCCATGTAATAGGTATATAGGATGGCCCCTTATTTACTCTTTTATGCTGTGCTTATTTCCCTGCTGTTATCAGGAAATGATTTAAAAGCAGAAGGTAATGTCACTATGGAGTCTCCCTGAAAGCAGGAAGAAAGTACTTTGTACTGATTAAGGCCAGAATAACATTCATAATGGCCAATCTCATTCTGGCCAAGTGAAAGTAATTATTCAAATATTTGCTCCCTGACAGCTCATGTCAGGAGCCAAAAGTGAGGAAGCATACACACACACATACACACACACACACACACAGAAAAAAGGCTAACATTACAATCTGCTTGTTGTATACCACGTAATTTTAACATTCCAAAAAATAAGTAATTACTGGGTTTAATAAATTGGTATTTAGAAGGTAAAATAATTTCAAAATTTACCAGTGGCACCACCCAAATTTACCAGCCCATATTGAAACTTCAGTGTTCCTGATCTCCTACCCACCCTCTACGCCCGCTGAGAATAAAATCATCTTGCTATGAAATGTTAAGGAGAAAAAAGATATTCTGATGGCTTACTAATAATAATTAGTAATATTCTGAAGGTTTCTTCATTTTATACATACTATTTGAGATTTGACTTATAAATGTGCCCTTGTTCAAGCACATAAGTGCAGCTTCAAAATGGATTACACAATTCTATACTGTCTACTCATAGTTGCCCAGTCTGAATCTATTCACCTTCAGAGCTTTCTTCTTAAAAAAAATCAACTTTATTAATTTTCACCCCCTGCCCCACAAAAATACTATGGGTTCTAATACTTCCATATCTGCATATCCATATCTCAGCATATTTTAACACCTAAGACCCAGCTTTAACAATATGGACAGGACAGGAAAAAGAAAGTCCTCATCTACTTTTAATACTCCAAGTAATTAATAATAACTTTAACCTAACCAGCCATAAAAATAGCAGAAGTAAACACTACCATTTATTAAATCTTTATTATTTATCAAATGCCTTGCCAAGTACTTTATGTTATCTCAAATAATCCTTCCTGCAACTCTCTAAAGCAAGCTGTAAAGATCTGAAGACATTCACCTGCCCAAGCCTACACAAATCAAGGAACTCAGAATCAGACCTAGATCCATCGTTTCCAGAACCAAGGATATTAGCCACTATTCTATTTTATTCCTCTCATTACTACAAGAATGCAAAAACATAGCATGGACATCCATATGCACAAAAATGACCTCGACCTAAACTTCACACCTAATACAAAAATTAACTGAATCATAGGGGTGGGGGATGAGCAGGAGGCAGCTGACAGATGTTTCTCACATCAATGTTTCTCACTCTCTCTCCCCTTCCTCTCTCTCTAAATATTAATAAAAACATATGCTCAGGTGAGGAATAAAAAAATAATAAAAAACTTATTTTCTAATCTAAATTATCTGCTATTATCCTGATCACAAGCATTTCACTGTTATGTAAGTAAAATAATTCCATATGCAAAATTGTTTTTTGTTACTAACCCCAAATAAGCCATGACTGTCCAGAGGTGGAAGATCTACAGATAATGGCATCTCATTACCATTACCATCCACAAGGTAAAGGATAACATGTATATTAAAGATGACCTATGTGTCGTAAAATTTTTAAGAATATTTTAGTAATATATAGACACTGATGTGCTGACATGTCTATAGTTTTTTTGTCATTATTGTTTTTTCCAGCTCAGAATTAAAAGAAACCATCAGAAAAGGTTACCTTTTTTTTTGCAGAAGACATTTGTATCTACTGTTTGAATTATGAACCATTTGTGTACTCTTCATTTTTCTTTTAAACTTTTCGTTTTGTTTGCTGCTTACCATAGAGCACTTCTCCAGTACTTCCTCCTGGAACTTCAGGAATCGTTCCTGAACCTCAGGTTCATTGAGGAAAAAGGAAAGAAAGTGAGTGAAGGGCTGCTTTCTTCTAAAAGTGAGCAAAAGAACATCAATCCGAGTTCGGGCTGAAATTACACCACTTCGATGCTGGCCAGTGATTACTGCAAACAAATAAAAAATAGGGTTAACATACTCAAGGATCATCAAATGCTTGTAAGATAGGTGACTTCTTGATACTGTCATCTGTGGGGAATTGTCCTGAATGTGTGCATAATTCTAAACAGGGGACAGTATCAAGGGTAAGAAACTTAAAATTAATTCAATCAAAGCAGAATGAGGTCTAAAAGCAGAATATCCTTAAAGACCAGCTGATGAACTAGAAAAATGAGTTCAAAAGCTACAAAGCAAACCTTCATACTTTGTTGCTGGAAATGTAAAATGGTGCAGCTGTTATGAAAAAGTCTGGTAGTTCCTTAAAAAGTTAAAAAGGAATTGCCATATGACCCAGCAATTCCATACCTAGATAGAAACCTAAAAGAAGTAAAAATAGGCCCTGGCCAGTGTGGCTAAGTGATTAGAGTATTGGCCTGAGCACAGAAGGGTCCCGGGTTCGATTCCCAGTCAAGGGCATATGTCTGGGTTGCAGGTTCAATCCCCACCCTGGTTGGGGTACATGCAGGAGGCAACCAATCAATGTGTCTCTCTCGCATCAATGTTTCTCTCTCCCTCTCTCTCTCCCCACCCCCCTTTCTGGCTCCTCTAAAAATCAATGGAAAAAATATCCTCGGGTGAGAATTAACCAAAAAAAAGTAAAAACAGGAGTTCAAAAAAACTTGCACACAAATGTTCATAGCAGTTTTTTCACAATACCAAAAGGTGGAAACAACATAATCGTCCATCAACTGATAAATGGATAAACAAAATGTATCTCCATACAATGGAATATTATTCAGCCAAAGAAAAGGAATGAAGAGCTGATGCATGCAAAAATATAGACGACTCTTGAAAAGATTATGCTAAATAAAAGACTCCAGACAAAAAAAGGTCATGTACTATATGTATGTTTCCATTTATAGGAAATATCCAGAACAAGCAAATTCATAAAGACCAAAAGCAGATTAGTGATAGTCAAGGACTGGGGGTAGGAAGGAATGGGAAGTGACTGCTTAATGGATATGGGGTTTCCTTTGGGGGTGATAAAAAATGTTCTAAAGCTAGATAGTGGTGATGGTTGCACAACACTGTAAATATACTAAATGCCTGTGAATGCAATACTTTAAAATGGTCAAAATGGTAAATTTTATGTCTAGAGGACAAATTAAAACCTACTAGATCATTTCCTTTTCTAGTCTCTCTAATTAAGGAGAGGCAAAAGAAAATACTCTGACCTATAAATTTGATTTTTCCATATACTTTATTTCCCTACAAGACAAATAAGCCAGTTTATCCTCTTGTTTTTCAATTAAATTAGTTCCACCAAATTCTTACTTTTAATGATTATACACACTTGTTTTTCACAATGAAGTATCTGTGCTTTCTAAATCAAAATTTAATCTTTACAATCTGCCTACCCCTTTCTGGATAAATTTTGAAATGATTCAGTATCTTAAAATGGCTAAGGTCTCCACATTTATATCATGTTATAAAAATTTATATGTCACTATATTGATAGCAAAAATGGGGAACATATTTAATTGTCAGTAGCGATTAAGCCTGGGATTCCTATTACAAAAGATTTTCCTTTATACCTATATATAATTTCTGCAAGCTTCCATGTTTAAAGCATACAATAATTTTAAAATTAGGAAAAAAGTAGATAAATAAGCTTAAATGCAATTATAAAATACTTCAATATTTGTAACTTGAACTTTAAAGCTTAAGGAAAGACCCAAGTTTTTTTAATTTGTAATTCTGTTTGTTTTGTTTTTGTTAATCCTCACCTGAGGATATTCTTTTCATTGATTATTTTAGAGAGCGTGGAAGTGATGGAGGGAGGGGGAGAGAGAAAGAAAGAGAAAGAGAGAGAAACATCAATGTGAGAGAGACACATCGACTGGTTGCCTCCTGCATGCACCCCACCTGGGGCCAAGATCAAACCTGCAACCTAGCCCGGCCGGGCGTGGCTCAGCGGTTGAGCGTCAACCTAGGATCCAGGTGATCGGGGTTCGATTCCCAGTCAGGGCACATGCCCAGGTTGCAGGCTAGGCAGCCGATCAATGACTTTCTCATCATTGATATTCCTATCTCTCTCTCTTCCTCTCCTTTCCTTTCTCTGAAATCAATAAAGATATATTTAAAAAACAAAAACAAAACAAAAAAAAACCTGCAACCTAGCTATGTGCCTCCTCAACTGGGAATCGAACACACGACCCTTTGGTGCTCGGGCCAATGCTCTAACCACTGAGCCAAATGGGCCAGGACTTTATTTGTAATTCTAATGAACTGAATATTCACTTTAATAAAAGTCCTTTATAAATGTCTTTACAGTTCTTAAGCTAGAGTCTACTGAAGTTACAAGAGGCTGAAGAAAATTCTAGTGCTGCACTGTCAAATACAGAAGCCCACCTGCAGTTAGTTAATGGTTAAGTGAATTAGAATTAAATAGAGCTACAAATTCAGTTCCTCAGTCACATCAGCCACATTTCAAGTACTCATAGTCACCTGAGGCTAGTGGCTCCTGTGCTGGACAGTGCAGATATAGAACATACCCATCATCCCAGAAAGTTCTTTTGGACAGCACTGCTCTAAAGTCAACTGTTACTTATCCATCACAGTGATTATTCTTACATAGCACAAAATAAGAAGAGTACTTGAAATTTTTTTCTCCTAAAACAAGGTGTTTATGGAAAATAAGTTATTGGAGGCTGCTGAACTTAGTTGATTTTTTATAAGTCCTATAGTTTTAGGATGTGTTTTTAAAATTTTTGTCCCTATACTGCCCCTCACTCAAACCTGTTTTACAACACAAGCCCATTCCTTGGTTCACACTGATGTTTGGTACCGACACTTTCTGACTAGTTTTATATTACAAAACTATTTTTCCTTGCCTGAGCAGTTATTTGAATTAGGTTGGTATTTTAATCATTACTCAGAGTCTATAAAGCAAGGTAAAAACAAGCAAACACTTATGGAAAGGGCTGAACTTTATTTCAAATTTGCAGGTCTCATTGGTTTTTTTCTAATTCTAACTTGAAACAATTCACAAACTCCATTTCAAGCTACTAAAGCATAAAAGAAGTCAAATCACACTGAAATCTGGAACTTTATCCCCTCAGTGAATGGTAAAGTATAAAATGAAGGCCCAGGTACTCAATCAAGATAAGGTTGTATAACTACATCTTTCCTCAGTAGGGAGATTGATACTGATATATCATAAAAAGGCCAATAGCTATAGAACCTCATAAAGAATACAGTCACTAAATACCTCAGTTGGGTTACATTATTCCATACACAGGCAAAAATGATTGCACATATAACATATATACTGGGTCTCACCAATTTCTCCTTCTTGTCCAGGTTTAGGAATACTAATAGAAGTTTTGGTCTCCACTTCTAGTTTCTTCCTGGTATCCCCTCTCTTTCCAACTATATGCCTATAATATAAAGAAAAACTAATTATTGGAAGGAAATTAAGCAAAAATGTACCAAAATAAAGAACTCCAACATGTTTAAATCATATGTAGCCAGAGATACTATCTTCAGAAAAGTGCTTCAGTGAAAGCTCAGTATTTGTAGAGGAACTTACAAGTCATATAGCTTTACAGAACATCCAGCATTACACTCTTTGACAAAATGATGTCCTATAGCCAAATTCAACGTAAAGATATAAAAACTATGCCCAACACCTGTTTGCTTCTCAAAATTACATTAAAATCTGAGTCTGCAGTTCAGTGAAAGGAAAGCTGGCATAGTCTCAAAGGCAATTCCAGTAACCAGTGGGACTACAGTTTTGGGAGGGGGAATCTTGTCCTTTTAGAGAACAAATTAACTATATTACAGGAATTATCCTTGATTAATTAAATAAGGATAAAGAGCTTAGCAAAGAGCAGGGTCCACTATTCAGGACAGATTCAAAAGCATAGAGACTAGCCCAGCAGGGCGGGGCTCAGTGGTTGAGTGTTGACCTAGGATCCAGGCAATCGGGGTTTGATTCCCTGTCAGGGTACATGCCCGGGTTGCAGGCTCAATCCCCAGTCGGGGGCGTGGAGGAGGCAGCTGATCAATGACTCTCTCATCATTGATGTTTCTGTTTCTCTCTCTCCCTTCCTCTCTCTGAAATCAATAAAGATATATTTAAAAAAAAAAAAAAGATAAATAAAAAATATTTTTTTAAAAAAAGACTAAACAAGTAAACCTCAGGTGGCTAAATTCACATAGACATGTCTTATTTGGGAGATTTTACCTAAAAATTAGGAAATTTCACCTGAAAATTTAGATTTCCAGGTTCTATAGCTAAATTAGAAGATCTGAAAACTCATGGAGCCTATTCTCATCCCTAAAAATGGAACACGAGCTTATCACAATTTCCATCACTCCCTACAGTCTTTCACCTACTCTACTTCATCATCCATTCATTTACATTACTTGCCTAGGCCTCCTAGCATAAATAACTCTGACATTTCAAGGTTATCTTCTGGAACCCACAGTAATTAGATGTGTTACAGTGTATGAATCTACTGGATCCCAAGAAATAAGTTTCAGAGTCTATAAAGCACTAAGAGACCATCACTGGACTATAAAATTAAGAGAAAAAATTCCCCCATCATCAACAGTATTTTGGCTTCTGATTTCAATACAGTACCCAATAGCATGGGTGACTATGTCTAAAACTGTGCATTTGCTTTAATTTTTTTCAATATTACATTAGTTTCAGGTGTGCAGCATAGTGGGTAGACATCATATACTTTACAAAGTGATCCCCTGATATTTCAAGAATCCACCTGGCAGCATACATAGTTATTACAGTATTACTGATTACATATCCTATGCTGTGCTTTACATCCCCATGACTATTTTGTAACTACCATTTTGTACTTCTTAATCCCTTCACCTTTTTCACCCAGCCCCCCCAACCCTTTTCCCCACTGGCAATCATCAGTTTGTTCTCTGTATCTATGAGTCTGTTTCTTTATTTGTTCGTTTATTTTGTTCTTTAAATTCCACATGTAAGTGAAATCATACAGTATTTGTCTTTCTCTGACTTATTTCACTTAGCATAATACCCTTTTAGATCCAACCATGCTGTCACAAACGCTAAGATTTCTTTTTTTTTTTTATAGCCCAGTAATAGTAAATTGCAAATATGTACCACAGCTTTTTTGTCCACTCATCTGTTTTTTTGGGTTTCTTTTGTTTTGTTTTTTTATAAATATATCTTTATTGATTTCAGAGAGAGGAAGGGAGAGGGAGAGAGAGAGATAGAAACATCAATGATGAGAGAGTCATTGATTGGCTAGCCCGCAACCCGGGCATGTGCCCTGACCGGGGATCGAACCCTGATCGCCTGGATCCTAGGTCTATACTCAACCGCTGAGCCACGCCCGGCTGGGCTTGTCCACTCATCTGTTGATGGACACTTGGGTTGCTTCCGTATCTTGGCTATGGTAAATAACGCTGCAATGAACATAGGAGTGCATATATCTTTTGAAATTAGCATTTTGGGTTTCTTCAGATACATACCAAAAATTGGAATTTCTTGGTCATAAGGCAGGTCCATTCTTAAGTTTTTGAGAAACCTTCATGCTGTTTTCCATAGTAGCTGCACCATTTTGCATTCCCACCAACAGTGCATAAGAGTTCCCTTTTCTCTACATCACTGCCAAATACTTGTTGTTTGTTGACTTATTGATGATAGCCATTCTGACAGATGTCAATGGACATTTGTTTTAGATGGGTTAACCAAACCCAATTATTTCCAGTAAGATCTACTGTCTAAGCCAGTTCTAAAAATACAAGATGTTTAGAAGAGGATTAGAACTCCCGAATTTACATGGGTTAGAGATTCTATTGCATTAACTCTGTGAGGACTTTGTCTTTCCAGGCCTTATCAGTAAGGGTGCTTTCAACCAGGCCCCTATTTGATAGCATGTTGTTAGTGGACAAACCTATCACAAAAAGTGGCTGGCTCAAAATGGTAATTGTCTACCCACCTTAGAAAGGGAAGTAGTTGAGGGTTAAAGAGGCTTTAGACTTAAACAAACCTTGAGTAAGTCACTTAACCACTCTAAGCCTATTTCCTCACTTATAAAAATGGAGTGAATAATACCTAAGTATCCTAAGGTTGCTATACGGATTAAATGCAATCATATATAAAAAGGGCTTCCCAGTAACTGGCACATAGCTCAGTATAGTCCATGCTGTCCTCATTAAGACCGCAATGGCAGACTCCCAGTTAAGAATACAGGAAGACTCAAAAGAGGCTTACATGGAAAGTCTAAGACATTCACTACAATAATACAGATACACAGTGAAAGGGTGACTGCTTTATTAAATATATAAGTGGTTGATTGAGTAGTTCTCAATCATGGCTGCACAGTGAAATCACCTGAAGTACTTAAAAAAACTAATGATACCTGGGTCCAGTTCCAGAGATTCTGATTTAATTGGTCTGAGATGCAGCCAAATATCAAGGGTTTTAAAAGTTCCCCAGGTGATTCTAATGTACACCTGGGGCTGAGAACCACCATATTAGATTTAATCCATAGACAGGTGTTAACCACAATTAGACTTTGATTATTAATTATTTGGCCAGATAATTTGTTCCTTGATCCCAATAAGCCTACAGAAATGATTCATAAGAAAGGAATCTTCCTAGTAAATAGTGTCTATTAATTTCAATTTAACAAAATCAATATTTAATCTAATATGCAAGTTACCTGGTACAGGAGTACTTAGAACACACAAAATTCAAAAGATCAAGTTGGAATCATAAATCTAAGGAATTTTTACACACCTTAGCAGTAGCAGATATACACATTAAGACATGTTACAATGATTTTCTCAAATCATGTTTCTTAGGGGAAAAAAGTTAGGTGTACTCTCCCTCCCAGGAGCACACCCACGCCTTTCCTTTCCCCCTCTCCTTCCCCCACAGGCATGCATCTCCTAAGGGACCCCACGGGACTTGCAACCAGGGGAGCAATGGGCAGCGGCAGCTCATGCCAGGCTAATTCCCTGAACCTGCCTGTAAGGGCCCCTTTTCTCTAACTTCTCACTGGGCCAAAGCAGCCCTGCCTAGGCTCTCTCCTGTTGCTTCTTCTATCCTAAGTCCTTCCTTGTTTCATTGTCCCCAGCTTTAATAAACATATTCTCAAAATAAAAAAAGAAGAAAATGTCACTGGAACCCAAGAGGAAAGTGAGCTGTCAGGGTTAACATTTGGTTTCCCATTTGGCCACACTCCAGAAGAATTTCATCCTTAAGAGGTATTTCAGAATACTCTCAAGGTTGATGAAAATGAAACTATTGCTTCTTGACACTACAAATATGGTACATGATTCCGCCCCTCCTATTTCATCTGGTATAACACAGAAAAAGAACTTATGGACTTTCTAGACCAACCTATCTTCAGAGGTGTAAGCCCAAAAGAAGTGTTAAGACACATAAGCTGGCCATATTAGTGGTTAATATGGGACAGAATGTGGTCAAGCAAGCACAGATTGAAGTGATCACAAAGTTTCCAAGCAATTTATAAAGATGATCCTAGAAAACGTATATGAGTCTTTGATAAGTGTTGGGGATTAATACAACAAACACATAACTGACTTCAAGAAGCTTCCCATATAGTGGAGGAGACATCAAATAGCACAGAAGTAAATATAAACACAAGACTATGAAATGCTACAAAGGTAAAGTAGAAGGTGTTATGAAAACATATAGTAGGATAATGAATGTGGTTGATGGGGAAAATGCTGTCAAAGCAATCTTCCCTAAGGAAGAATATAACTAGGTAAGAAAAAAGGAGAGATTATAAGACAAAGGGAAGAGTATCTGCCAAAGCTCTAAGGCTGGAAAGAGCATGACACATTAGAAAAGAAAACCAGTTGGGCTTAAGTGCAAAGCTGGGAAAGTGGCGTTGAGTTGAGACTGAAAACTGCAGGGCCTGCTAAGTCATGTTCAAGATTTTGGCCACTATTCTAATGGAACAGAATTCTATCTTCAATGGAAGGGTGTTAATAGATTTTAAGCAGAGGTAGTAATGTAATCAGATTTGCCTCTTTAAAAGATCATCCCACCCTCAATGTGAAGCACTAATTGGGAGGAGAGCAAGAATAAATGTGGAGACTAGCAAGTAGGCTATTTGAAGTAATCCACAGAAGAGGCATCAGGGTAGCAGCAAAGAAAGTGGTGGATTCAAAATTAAGAGGCAAAATTAATAGGACTTGGCGATACATACAGAATAATAAAATTGAAATGCAATCAGTCCATAGAAATTCTAGGATATAGTCCAGTCAAAATGGCGGCATAGGTAAATGCAGTACTCACATCCTCCCACATCAAAATTACAACTGAACTACAGGACAACCATCATACAGAACTGTCTGAAATCTGGTTGAATGGAAGTCTTACATCTAGGGATTTAAAGAAGCAGCTACATGAAGACTGGTAGGAGGGGCAGAGATGCAAAATGGGCTGACCCCACACCCATGTGTAGAGGAAAATTGAGAGGGATATCTCAGCTGTGGAGGTCCCCAAGGAGCTAAGGGTCCCAGCTCTATACCAGGTCCCCCAGCCCAGGGTTCCCGTGCCAGGAAGAAAAGTCCCCATAACTTCTAGCTGTAAAAACCAGCGGGGATTGTGGCTGAGTGAGTTGGAGGGCTGCTGGAGTCCCAGACATTCCTTTTAAAGGGACGGAGCCAGGACTTACTTAGACTCACTCCCTCAGAGCTCCAGCACTGGGGCAAGCAGCTCAAAAGGCACCAGGGACATATGGGGAGGAATTGAATTGTCTGGCATTAGGGCAAGAGCTGGAGGGGCAGCTTTCTGTCAGACAGAAATGCTGACAGAGGCCACTGTTCCTTTCCTGAAACCCCCTTGTCCTCACAGAGCTGGCAAACAGACACCATATCTGAGTCTCCATCAACCTGGCTAACACTGTTTGTCCTGGTGTGGTAATTCCCTGAGGCCCTGCCCCACCCAACTTTCTAGCCCACCCAAGCTGTTTCCAGTGGCTTTTCCATACCCATAGCCTATCTTGGCTCATGCTTCAGACTTTCCCAAAATCTCTCAAACAAGCAGCATCTGGCCTCAGCGTGCCCATACCTCTCTCAAAGTAGGCCAAGGCACTTAGCAGCAGCCGGCCTTGGTTCACAGCTTGGCCTTGCCTGGGCACCTCCAAGCCCAACACAAGTAGCAATCATCTACAGATCACTTCGTAGCTCATGCAGGGTAGCCCCAGGAAGAGCAAAGGTGGTGGCTGACCTTGGCCTGCACCTCCTGGGAGGCCCCAGAGACAGTGCACCTGGTGGTCAGACTCGACCACGCTGGATTACAGCCCTACCACAGCCACGAGTAAAACACTTAAGGGGCGCACTTGGTGAACCAAAGCTCCACTGAAGTAAATCCTGCTCCATAGGGGTGTCTCCAGCACAGCAGCTCTCTGACTGTAGTTGCAGCTGGTCCTCACAGCTGATTGGCCTGGGGGTCAGTTCCTCCTAGGGACGCCAACAGCAACCAAGGCTCAACTACAACAGGACAGTGCACACAGCCCACACAGGGAAGCACCTAGAAGGCCCAGCTCAGGTGACTGGGGAGGCTGAGCCACTGGACCCTACAGGACACCTACTACACAAAGCCACTCTACNNGAGACCAAGGAATTGAAAACCTATTTGAAAAAATAATGATAGAAAAGTTCCCTAACCTGGTGAAGGAAAGAGACATACAAGTCCAGGAAGTGCAGAGAGTCCCAAACAAGATGAACCCAAAGAGGTCCACACCAAGACACATCACAATTAAAATGCCAAAGGTTGAAGACAAAGAGAGAATCTTAAAAGCAGCAAAAGAAAAGCAGTCAGTTACCTACAAGGGAGCTCCCATAAGACTGTCAGCTGATTTCTCAACAGAAACTTTGCAGGCCAGAAGGGATTTGCAAGAAATATTCAAAGTGATGAAAATCGAGGACCTACAACCAAGATTAGTCTACCCAGTAAAGCTATCATTTAGAATTGAAGGACAGATAAAGAGCTTCCCAGACAAGAAAAAGCAAAAGGAGTTCATCACCACCAAACCAATATTATATGAAATGTTAAAGGGAGGAGGAGGGGGAGAGGGGAGGAGAAAATGAATAAGATGGCAATAAAAATGTATCTATCAACAACTGAATCTCTAAAAAATCACAAAATAAACAAACAAGCAGAACAGAAACAGACTCTTAAATGCAGACATTTTGACAGTTGCCAGGTAGGAGAGGGTCTAGGGGGATGGGTGAAAAAGGGATTAAGTAGCACAAATTGGGACCTGGCCAGTGTGGCTCAGTTGCTTGGGTGTTGTCCCCTTCACCAAAGGGTTGCTGGTTCAATTCCCAGCCAGAGCACATGCCTGGTTGCCGGCTCCAATCCCTGGAAAGGGCTTGCAGGAGGCAGTCGATGGATGTTCCGCTTTCACATCAATTTTTTTTTTTCTCTCCCTTTCTCCCTTCCTCTGTCTCTAAAATTCAATAAAAATATTTTTGGGGGGGAAAAAAAGAAATACAAATTGGTAGTTACAGAGTAGTCATGGGGATGTAAAGTACAGCATGGGGAGTGTAGTCAATAATATTCTAATAACTAGGTATGGTGTCAGATGGGTATGAGGTTCATTGGTATGATCACTTAGTAAGTTGTATAATGTCTAATCACTGGGGTGTACACCTGAAACTAATATAATATTGTATGTCAACTATAATTAAAAAATTAAAAAATGATTTAAAAAAAAATTCTAGGACATAAAACACTAAACTATTTTGTCATTAGTAATCAAGCATTGCAGTTAAATGTGGAAGAGAAAACAGTCAGCTTCCTGCTGAATTTCCTAGAAAGCCTCCCCATGAAGCTGCCCAGGGGCTCACTCACTTGTAGAGCAGGCTGGGGGCCTTCACAGTACACTGGAAACCTTGCTGGGTCTGCACCACCTCATAGCCATCACAGGGCTCATCTGCACACTCCACGAAGCCTGCACAGAAATGGTAACATCTTGCATAGAACTGCTGCTCTGTGGATAACAGTCTTCTCCCCAGCTGACAACCACTCTCTAGGTTTAAAAAAAGCAATACACACACACACACACACATACACAGAACAGCCTGACACTTTACATTGCAGAGCCCTGCTCTGACATTCCTTATGACCTGCTCTTAGAATAAAAAACTCATGACTATTTTAAATCTTCCAGTTTTGGAACCCTGGAAAATTCGGATGTACATACCACTGTTTCTCCCAACTGTTTTCTCCCAGAAAGCTAAGACATAATAACAAAAGTTTTACTATTTACTTTTTTATGAAGATATAATTCACGTAACATTAAATTCATCCTCTTAAAATGTACAACTCAGTTGTTTTTAGTTTTAAGACACAAAATTCCTCCAGTGAAAAAAGTAGGAGTGATACTGGGAGAACTTACTCCATACAGCAGAGACAAAATGAAATAAAGGAGTTCAAAGGCCCCAAGGCTGAAGGGAAATAATGGGGCGCATCAGGGAGGAGACTAACCCCCAAGGCTTAGGGCCCAATGAAAAAGCTTATAAAGGAAAAGGAAAAGAAAGCAGAGAAGCTGAAAGGCCCTGCCAATTTATGCACTGAACCCAAGCCCAAGTTAATTAGCCTGAAAATATTTACAATCCATCCTGGCTATTTAGTTTATTTCTTAAAACTATCCCTACATAACAATAAAGTTGTTCATTTGGAACTGCCTGTATATGACTGCAAAGAAGAGAAAAATAACAACAATAATAACAGCTGACATTATTGGGCACTGGATAAAATACTTTATATATGTTCATTTATTTCAATAACATATATATTACTTTGCAACTTTACAAATAAAGGAAGTTACTTTTGTCACAGAATATTAATCGTTAATCTTAACAGTTAACTAAAATTACCCCTTATTACATTTAAGCCTCTGTACAAAGATGAAACGTAACTTGACTTATGAACTATAACTGAGAACACCTCATCAAACTCAAACACATCTATCCCCTTAAACATCAACACAAATGGAGCTGTAAACCAATCACTTCAAATTTCAGTACGCACAAACACATTGAAACAAAACAAAGAGCTGCTTCTGCAATACAGAGAACACTACTCCTAATCTGACTAGGATGACCTTGATAGAGCACCTAGGATGACCTTGATAGAGCACCTAGGATGACCTTGATAGAGCACCTAGGATGACCTTGATAGAGCACCTAGGATGACCTTGATAGAGCACCTAGGATGACCTTGATAGAGCACCTAGGATGACCTTGATAGAGCACCTAGGATGACCTTGATAGAGCACCTAGGATGACCTTGATAGAGCACCTAGGATGACCTTGATAGAGCACCTAGGATGACCTTGATAGAGCACCTAGGATGACCTTGATAGAGCACCTAGGATGACCTTGATAGAGCACCTAGGATGACCTTGATAGAGCACCTAGGATGACCTTGATAGAGCACCTAGGATGACCTTGATAGAGCACCTAGGATGACCTTGATAGAGCACCTAGGATGACCTTGATAGAGCACCTAGGATGACCTTGATAGAGCGCCTAGGATGACCTTGATAGAGCACCTAGGATGACCTTGATGGAGCCACTAGGATGACCTTGATAGAGCCACTAGGATGACCTTGATAGAGCGCCTAGGATTACCTTGATAGAAGTCCTCATCCTCCTCTTCATGCTGGTAAGTCTGTTCTTGAATGGGATTCTTCCTATAAATCCGTCCGCCAATTCTTATAAGCTGTGGTCGCAGAACTTCCATGATACTTTCCCAAACAATATTCCAGTGAAGTCCTAAAAGAAAAAAAAAATGATTGCCTTACCTTTTTATCAGAAAGAAAAATCCTATCTCTATTATGTGGATCATTACATAGGCCTGAAAGGACATAATTGGGCATCGGTTCACAGTACATTCTAAGCAAAAGCAGCAGTTTCCATTAGACCTCCCCTATTTGTAAACTGTTTTAAGTCAATTGCTGCATTTCCCACTACATTATATCATTCCTGGCTCACTCTAGCCAGAAATTTGTAAACTATTCAGCAGTCCAAAAGAGGTGATTAAAAGATACTGAACCCTTTATAAACAGCCCGTCCATGGTTTTGAAAGAAAGAATACAAGTCTGTTTACTACTTTAACCTAAAAGGAGTAAAATGCAACCTTCTGTGTTAAACCATTTCCAAAGCGTTTCACCCTTTCTATGCAGCATGATAATTAAGAGAATTAGGGATATTTAATACACTCATCCGTCAAGGAAGAAAAAAGCCTCTAGTACTTTCAGAGGTGCTTGAAATATACACCTAACAATTAGATCTAGTTACCTATGAAAACAGTTAAAATATGACTTAACCAAGACGGTTCTTCAAACCAACACATGGCTACTTGACCTGGGGTGGTGAACGCACAACAGAACGTACAGATGATGTTTTGTGGAGTTGTGCACCTGAAACCTGTAAAATTTTGTTCACCAAAATTTTTGTTCAACAAAAAGGAAAAAAAACAAAACAACACATTGCTGAGGGAAGGAATCCAATTTCCATAGACCACTGCCCCACAAAATGTACACCACTCACTGTGAAGCCAAGCTTTCAGTCACAACTTAATGGACCAATAATTCAGGAAACAAGGGTTGCTTATGGGCTGGCTGTGTTTAAGTTCAACCAATGTTCCTACCACATAGGTGGGATAGTCTTGAAGCCCAAAATACCTAAAGTTCCAAAGAAAAGAGGTTAATCCTTAGTAAATACACTAATACTCAGCCTAACCCTCAGCAAGTCACTTCAATGGGTAGTTTGCTTACAGAACCAAGGAGAGATTTCGTGTTATGAGAAATAACAACACAGGAGGAAAAAGACTTGAATGGGAGAAGAGGGGACATAATTAGCAATAGTTTAATAATGACATTCCACCCTAGTGCCCTATTTCCTCAGGACCTCTTTAAAAAAAAAAAAAAAAAAAAAAGGGCCCTCCTCAAAAGGCTTTAATGTCAAGGTCAGGCGCTCAGACCAGGAGCTCGGGGAGAAGAGAGAGTTGCCTCAGAGACAGCACACTCTTCGTCTGCCTCCCGACCCGGCCCTGGGCTAGGAAACTGCTCCGAAGGAAGGGGGAATACCCAGTTGAACCCGGCTTCGTGGTGGTTTGGAGAGGGACAGGAAAGCAGAAGGTCTGCCATGTCGTGGGGAAAGCTAAAGCCCTGCATCATTAAAGCGAGCAAAAAAAGAAAAAAAGAAAAACCCGAGTACGCCAATGCGACTGAATAGGCGTCGGCTGCAGGTAAACCCGGGCCGGGAGCGGCGAACAAGGACCCGGAAGCCCTCTCCGGAAGCGCGGTCTCGGCGCCCCAACGCCCCGGCCACGCCCCCCA